CTGCTGCTGGACCCTCAGCTGGGCCCTCAGAACAGCAGCCCCGCAGCCTGAGGACGGCCTTCTCTTGGGGAGGGACGCGGGGCTTTGTCGGCGCTGGACACCCGGCTGATTAACATCCAATTTCAAGTCCACACGCAGGCGTGGCTCCCTGGGCAACCGACGTGTCCCTATGTGGGCAGAGGAGCTCTGCGAGGGGGCTGCCATCGGATCCTCAAAGGGACCGTTGGCCCTGGCGTCCTGGCGTCCTGGCGTCCTGGTATCATTGATGTTCCCCTCTCTCTCCCTCTCCCTCTGAAATAAATAAAAATATCTCTTTTTTAAAAAATGGAAAAAATCGAAATAAGCCATTCAGGAGTTCCTCTTGCCCAGGCTCTGGAACCTTCTCCTTGGCGAGGTCTGGTCCCGCTGGCCTCTCACTGCGCTGTCTTCTCGCTGATTTCCCTGTAAAATGAAAGCAGCAGCGGGTGCGTGGGGGCGCTCACTCTGCTGCGTGCAGGTCTGCGCTCTGCGATATGGCCATCGTCTCATTTCATTCTTACGATGAGGCGGGCACGCGGATTCCCTCCATCTCACAGACGACGGGTCCACGGACCAGGGTCGCTGAGTAACTGGGCCGCCCGGTCTGTCAGCCTCCAAAGCCACGCTCGCTCGCAGCCACCGGGATGTATCGCCTTCCGGTTCTGCCTCTACTTCCCCAGTGCGCACCTGCACACCGCTCGGGTCTCCTCGCCTTCGCAGGGGGAGATTCTAGGCGTGAAGTTCAACAGCCCGGCTGCTTTGGGAGGAGGAGATTGGGCTCTGTTCCCGCTCCCACCAGCAGGTGGCGCAGTCTCCCCAGCGGATTTCCTGGCCTTTTGACCCTTTCGGCGGGATTAGACCCTTTCTGGCTGGGTTGCCTTACCCTGTTCTGTGAAGGCGATCTATCAGGACAGCGGTTCCAGGAGGAGCTGGTGCAGGGTGCCCGTGACCCTGGCATCTGTGTGCGTGGCACCCGGTGCATTAGCTACTACAACGTGTAGACAGTTATAGCCTAGCCTCCTTCCTCTTGCCGGCCGCGCCCCTCTCCCCCAAGTGGACTTCAGACCACAGTGTTCAAAGCAGCGTTTCGTGCGGAAATCCAGCTGTTAGGCCAAGTTCCCTTTACGCAGCGCCATCGCGGAGCAGCGGCCCCCCTGGGACCTCCGGGTGACTTTGTTGGCCTGTACCTCCTGCAGCCGCCTTTGGGATCAGATCCAAATCCTGGCTCTTCCTCCACGTGACCCGACCTCCTGACCCCTCTGTGCCTGGTGACGACTGCCCGACACTAATACAACAGAGGCTGGGAGACGCAAGCGGTCAGCACCGGCAAGTGGTGGCTCTGGTTAGCCTCACGCTGCCAGTGCACGGACTCCACGCCATAGAGAAGGACCTCTGAGTAAATAGTTTGCTCAGCTCTTTCGCGTCTTCGTGTGCTTTGCTGGACTTGTCCCCTCTCCTCCGTGCAGCGCCTCCCTGTGGCCAGTTCCCATTCCATCAGATGCGGTGTTGTTACAAAGCCTTTGAAATTGACCAGGGAGGGGAATTTCAGCAGCATCTGGCTTACCGGGAGGTGGTGAGAGCAGGGCCTCTTGCCTCCAATCTTCCGGCCTCCTCGTCGACCCCCACCCCCGACCCAGGGACAGCACGTCCATCTCAGCGCTCTGGGGTGCTCGCCCTCTGCCCGGCTGCCTCGGGGAGTGTGCCGTGGGCCGACTTCCTGGGGGACTCCCTGTGCCAGGCATTGTCCTGGCGGAGCTGGGTCACGGGCCCGAGAGGGAACCTGGCACTTCTGGGCAATGCCAACACTCCACACGGCACACCCACCGGCACCAAGGTGAGTTCCCAGCAGCCGTGTTTAACTTTCTGCACAAGATTAGATTAAACATTAGGGTTCATAAGAGCCCGGCGTTGCCACTGCACTTGGCAAGGGCGGCTGAGGGTTCCGCACAAGCCGGAGGGCTCGGCAGCCACAGCAGGACGGCCGGCGCCCGGCTGCGTAGCAAGGGTCCCCCGCACGGCGTCGGTAAGCACCTTCCCATCGCAAATGCTTTCTTGTCCTTTTATTTGAGAATTTAAGTAACAGAGCTCTTTCCCTTTGCCAGAAAATTCTCAAAGGAGCGATTGTTAAGAATTCCTCTCTCTCTTTCTCCTTTTGTGGGTAGTGTTTTCCTTGTGTACTCAGTAATTTCATTTTGTAAGTTTTTCTTTTTCTTTTTAAATCCTCACCCGAGGATACTTTACCACTGATTTTTAGAGAGAGTGGGAGGGGGAAAGACAGAGAGAAACACCGATGTGAGAGAAACACATTGACTGGTTGCCTCCTGCACGCCCCCTGACCAGGGATGTGCCCGCAACCGAGGTACGTGCCCTTGACCGGAATCAAACTTGGGACCCTTCGGTCTGCAGGCCGATGCTCTATCTACTGAGCCACACCAGCTTGGGCCATTTTGTGTTTTATGGGAGTTTCATGGAAATGGAACCATACCTTTTTCTGTCCTTTATACACACACGAAAGACACTGCTGCCTTCTGTAGGCCCAGGTGATGCCAACGGTCCCCCATTGCACTTTTGGCAAATATCATGTAGACTTGGGGGTCAGTGGGGGTCACTTCCTCATGGTGTCAACAGCCCGTGTGGAGTTACACACACCTGGGCAGGCACCGCGGGACACAGGAGGCCGCTGTGTGTCCTGAGATGGGGAACGACTTGTTGATGTCCACGGGCTCCAGCGCCGTCCTGGTCTCCCTTCTGCCCAGCTCAGCTGAGCAGCCGCCAACGCTGGATGGGGGAGCTGCTGGCCTGTGTGGGCTCCGCCAGGGCAGGGTGGGTGCTGGGAGGTGATGGTGTCTTGTCCTGGCAGCCGGCATGCGAGCCCGGTGGCCTCGGACAGGAGACGGAAGCTCTGAGGCTGCAGCTCTTCCACCTGCTGCAGGGCCAGGTCGGTCTCCGTCATCTGCAAGGCCCGTCGTGGTGGGGTTTCCAGTATGTTTTTATCGATTTCAGAGAGGAAGGGAGAGGGAACATCCATGATGAGAGAGAAGCATGGACCGGCTGCCTCCTGCACGCCCTCTCCTAGAGATCGAGTCCCCAACCCAGGCCTGTGCCCTGACCAGGAATCTAACTGAGACCTCCTGGTTCACGGGTCAACACTTAGCCACTGAGGTGCCCTGGCTGGACCATCGTGGTGTTTCTGTGGTTGTTGTTTTGGAGCAGAAATCCTTAGTAAAAATATCTGAAACACATAGGCCCACCTATACCTGGCTGCACCCTATGAAATTGCCAGTTTCGGCCACTTTAACCTGTGTCAGTGGCAGTTTCGCAGGGTTTAAGAGAACGTAAACGATGGCCTAAGTCCACACCTGTTAGGCAGTCTCCTTGGAGGGGAGTGTGCATTCCACATACGGCCAGCGCCTCGGTCACGGAGTGAGTGGGTGTCGGAACTGGCACCCTCCTTGCACGTTTGCGCGTGTCCATCGGGAAGCGGCCTTCGCACGCGGTGCCTGGGCCCTTTCCTGGGCTCGCGGAGCAGACACCCGCGTGCTCAGTGCTCCCACGGGGTCCACCTGGGACTGGACGTTTCCAGCCTGGCCAGGCCGCTCGGGCACTTACCCCCGGGGCCTTTCCCTGTGGTCCGGTCTCATCAGAAAGCACCTCCGGGCGGCCCAGCGTGTCCCTGCAGGAGAGCTGACCGATGAGCAGGGTCCGCCGGCGGGTGGGTGTGCGCTGCCACGCCCGCACCTTGAAACCCCTGGGGTGTCCGCACTGAGGTATTTTGTTGCAGATCCTAGGATGGGCTTTAGGGGGCCCAGGGGGCCCGGAAACTGGAGGGAGAGCTTCGTATGTACATATGTACGCTTGCCGGGAGAAAAACAACATGAACTGGTTTTCTTTTTCAAGGGATCTGCAACCCCTCCTCCTGCCCTCTCCCTCCTTCCCTCCCCTGCAGGTACGTTGGGAAAAGAGGACTGTAGATTGGGGGTCGGTGGGTGTGGCCGTGGTTTCTGGGTGCTTGCACAGGACCCGGGAGGGGAGCACTCACTCACCACACCCTCAGGGGGCGCTAGGCAGACCCCCGCTGGGTCCTTAGGGGTTTTATGGCCCGAGAGGACCTGCAGGTCCCTGCTCCTCACAGGCTCCTCCCCAGCCCGGGCCCTGGTCGACGTGTGCAGGAGGCAGCCAACTGATGTGCTTCTCTCCCCTTGATGTTTCTCTGTCTCTTCCACTCTCCCTAAAAATCAATGGAAAAATATCCTCGGGTGAGGATTAAACAAACAATCAAACAAACAAAAGAAGACATTGGCGTGCAGGGCAGAGAGGGCGTTGGGGCCCAGGAGGTGGTGTGGAGGAGGCTGTGTTGCATGGAATGGCGTCATCAGGGTGATGCTGGTGGGCGGTGGGGGGGGGCGGCAGTGAGACGGAGAGAGAGCTGGTTTGGGAATAGGATGGCGTCTCAGGTTGTTTCTCTGCATCCTCGCCTGAAACACGCCTTTCAGATACGGATGAACTGGTCACCTCTTTGCTGCACTGGGGAGAGCCCTGCCTGGACCGAGGGTCCGACACACACGCCAGACCCTGTCAGTGTCCCTTCCCGCCTCCCTCCCATAATCCTCCAAAGCACGGGGACACCGGCCATCGCGGTAGCAGCCGGGGCTCGTGGAAAGCCTGTTACAACAAGGCATTGTGCTGACTACTGTGAGGTTAACAGTCCATCTTAAAGCAGAGTAATGCGAGAATATTGGTGAACATTGGAAACATGAGAAAAGTGTAAAGAAGAAAAAGAGTTTTAAGTATACCACCCACTATTAACATTTCAAACTATTTCCAGTCTTTTTTCCATTTCCACATGCATGCATACATTCAATTACATATATATTTTTTATTTGTTTGTTTGTTTTTGTTGATCTCAGAGAGGGGGAGGGCAGGGGAGAGAGAAAGAGAAACATTGATCAGTTGCCTCCTGTACACAGTCCGACTGGGGATGGAACCCAAAACCTGGGTATATGCCCTGACCGGGAATCGAACCCGCCACCTTCTGGTGTATGGGACGATACTCCAACCAACCGAGCCCCGCCAGCCAGGGCTAGGTACATATATAAGTTGGGGTCATACTATGTACAGTGTTATGTCCCCCATTGCACTTTTGGCAAATATCATGCATGCAACAGGTGCACATGAAAAGCTTAAAGAACTGAGTGTGCGCTCGGTCCATCACCAGCAGGTTAGGGAGGAATCGTATCGCTGCCCGCC